TTTTTTTTTCACCTTTGACTATGCAGGAGAAAGCTGAAGGAGAGTCACCAGAAAAACCTGCCATGGGTCCTGGGTCTTTGAGAAGTCTTTTCACAGACGTCAGTCAACAAATGATTGTGGCCATGGGTGGGGTCTCTGTGGGTGTAAGAGAGGTGCTTAATAAGGTACTGGGCATCCTGGACCAGGGGCTCAGGGATATCACCAAGGCACGTGATACAGTTATTGACACAAGAAAGAGGAACATTGCTGATATCAGTTGGATCAAGGTAAGGAAACAACCAGTATTTAGTTCTTGGTTCTAAGTTAGTGAGTTAGTTAATGAGCTGTCAGTGGGCCTGGATCAGGAGGCTGGGCTTGAAGCTTTACCAGGTCATTGTGTTGTGTTCTTGGACAAGATACTTTACTCTCACTCTGTCTCTTTCCAGCCAGGAGTATACATGGGTACCGGTGAATTGTGAAGGAATCCTGACGATATACAAGGCTGGTAACTTGCGATGGTCCAAGGGGGGTTGGCAAACTCCAATTCACGTTATGCCGCAGAAACCGGGGATGAATATTGGTTTTTTTTGGTCCACTTGCCCTCAAGGCTTAGTCCTCTGAGTTAGTGTACAGAAAACAGTAGATTTAATAGAAAACATGAATTGGGGTACGCCTCAATAAAGTCTGAGTAACACCCACTGTCTGACTAACTGACAGACTGGCTGGCTTGCTGACTTACTACTGTAACTGAGCAAAACAAACCTAAAAATTTGTATTTTTAAAGCAGGCATATTTCCCTTATGCGTGTTTCCATCTTTCATTCAGCCTTCAAGAGTAAACAAACCCAAGACGGAAGATGGTGACGCAGAACATCAGGATTCTGACTTGCTTGAGCGGATGATAGAGACGTTGCACATGGAGTTGCTGTTTGTTCGACATAGAGTTGCTGTAAAGCTTGTCAACTTGGGGCAAGGTGAAGCAATAAGTATTCAATATCTTTTCATGAAGACGTACATTGGGAAATAAAATCTTTCTTGATTGATGCATGACAATCAAACCGCTAAATGTTTCTCGTTTTCTTGTACAGAACCCTGTGAACCAAAGAGATCAGCCAAAAAACAGAAGGTAATTGAAAGCACAATATTTAAAATTGTTACATGATCAAACCAAAGTGGCTGTGAGCCATTGAACTTGGAAAATGAAGAGGTTGGATGCAAGGCCACTGAACTGACTCCAATTCTCGACTATCAGTTGAGCCCCACGCAAGGAGACCTACGTAAAAGTTAACAGGAATGGAAGGAAGGAAGGAAGGAGTGATGCAGTGTCTGCGTGATGGATGAAAGGAGTGAATTTGGGTCGTTACAACAACTCAAAAATGGCTTTCAGCCATTATCCGAGTTGAAGATGATGATGCTGGTAAAATCAAACAGTCATCCCTAAATTTTCCTATCTTACCTTACAGGAGAAACCAAAGACTGGTGCTGGTTCCTTGCATTTTAGTGATGCAGAGAATAAACTGCTCTCTGAGTGCAGTAGGAACCCGCTGTCCAAAGCAATGCTGCGCATGCACATGGCGGGACAGGCTGTTACGTCACAGAGTCATGTGGGGACTGAAAGACAAACACAGCTTCTTAAGGTATGATGTTTCAAGTAATCTATCACAGTTTTGCGTAGGGGCCCTTAGCAAGTCGTTGTACTATACACTTCGATAGTCTCCCCCACCCTGGAGATGTAAATGTATATCAGCTAACTATCAGGTAGATATGAAAAAAAGCTGGGGGAGGTAACCGCGTCTACTTCCATTGTAGGAGAGCCAAGAGCTGATTGTCAAGTGTCAGCAGCAGGAAAGGAAAGTATCCAGTTGGAACAGACAAACAGACGACACCAGTGACAACATTCTTCCCTCTGATGTCCCCCCGGCCCCTCTCCTTGTGTACCGCAGCTCTGCTGTGTTGGTATTCAAACCAGCTCCCTTCGAGCCAAAAACAGGAGAAAAGGTACATTGGCACTCACTGACTTTCTCCTTGTGATAGAATTACTCGTCGAATGCAAAAGTTCACAGTTGCTCAAAACTTAGCCTGCAGAACAGGCGTAATTTTGGCGAGCTAGTGCTCAGTATTTTCTTGAGGAAAACTTAAGCTGCCATCTTTATTTTTACAGTAATAGAAGTGGGGGAGAGAAGGAAATTTTTACCAAGGGGGTTAACGACGATCAAAAGGAAGTAGAGGGGAGAGGGTGGGGCAATAGAAATTACTCTAACCTTTTCCTGCCCCTTCCCTCCCGTATTTTTCAGTTTAGTAGACGTGAACGAAAGTGTAGCGCGAGGTAGGCGCGAATGGCGATGTACGCTCAAGAGAGGAAGTTGTTTCATCCCGCTCGCCGCTCGCCGCGCGCTCTCGTATTCTTGCTTGAAAAACGCCAAAAAATGGCGTCTATTCTGTAGGCAAGGCTAGTTTTTTTTCTTTACGGCGTAAGTATTAGACTTGATATTTGTAACGCGCAGAAACGATCTCATGTATTATGTTGTAATTGTGACATGTTGTTCTGTATTTTAGGTGGCATGGTATCGACTCTTTGCAAGGTCGGCCAGCGGTAATAATGTTAAAGTCAGGCTGAATGACTATCAGCTGCCAGGGACTGGTGAAGAGGTATTCTTTGAGTTTCTAAGATATCATTGTTTTTGTATAACAGATGTGAAATGAAAGGATCCTGTGTGGGGAAGTAATCACTGGTGTATTGATAGCACACTATGTAAATCCCACAAACTAAGTGATGTTATCGATCAGTTACATTAAAAGGATTTATGACCACAAGAAATATGCAAGGGTTCAAAACAAAAACAAGTCAACTGCTTGTTACGCAAGGAAACTTAAATGGCAATCCAATGTTTCTTTTCAAACGCCTCTCGCTTGAAATTTGCTCAATTGCACTCCAACACAACAACAGACCGAAGTTGATCAAAGGATTGACAACGCCATCCAATGATTAAATCTCTATCCAGTTGACTGGACAACGATTTCTCCTTTGGATAGCGTTATCCACAACTTTGAACAACTGGGGACCAGTAATTTTCCAAATTGCTGCCAATTTTTTAGATCCCGGCCACTGCTGACATCAAGTTTTTTGTGCGTGGGCTTAAAGCAGATGAGAAGTACATGGCAGCTGTAGCAGCTTACAATGAACATGGTAAACTGATCGGTGGAAGTGTTGGCTTAACATGTCGACCTATTCTTGCTGCTCATCCATTACCAACTCTCATGGCGTGGGGGTATTTAGCTCAGGTGCGTGAATGAACCAGGAGAACTGCGTGACAGTGTACGGTGTGACAGAGAGTACAGGGTGGTATTGTCCAGCCTACCAGGGGATAGTCCAAGGCTAGAAAAAGTATTCTCTGAGTTGAGGTGCTCTTACAATGGAAGTGACAGATAAAGGTTGTAGAAACCCTGTTTTATGTCGAAGTCATAGCTCGTGTTCTTTAAATGGGGTAGCCCTCGATTAACGGTTTGGCGAAAAAGAGGTTCCACTGTGTCTCTATCGCTATACTTCATGTACCTCGCGCAAAGCCTGACACGGATGTCTCAAGACGTCATTTGAAACGATACCCTGAAGGCGTATTACCTGTGTGAAGTTTTGAATGCGTTGTTATCTTGGCTCTGTAATGCGATGTGATTTCCTTTCATTTACAGCTCTCTTTTGCCTCGGGCGTGTTATCAGTAGCTAAATCTGCTGCGTCCGTTTTGTGGAATCACTTTGTAAAGGAGCGTGAAATATATGAAGAGAACACCAATATCCAAACAGCCAGTTCCGATTTGTGCATCTCTCTACAAAGGTTGGTACTAACGTTGAACAATTCACGTTTTATTTACTTTTTAAAATTATTAATATATACTTACAAGAGCCCTCTATCCTGTAACTCTCATGAGTGACCAAGACAGAAATTCTCCCCACAATAACGATACAATATCAAGCAGACAAGTGATGAGAAAAAAGAAAAATATAAGCGAGGATTATTATTATTTGATCCAATAACAAATTATCTGAACTAACATTATAAGAACTCTATGGCAGACAGTAAGGAGAATTACGTATGAGATCCAAGGAGTAAAAGGGTTAATGGGCTCAGAGGTGTTGAACACATCGATAAGTAAGTGAAGTTATTTTATTTACTGTTTTGTATTATTTTGCAGAGTCGACGAGGACAGATTGCGCGAATGTTCACCTGTATTGGCGAGACTCTTTCTCCAGAGTATCTTCATATCCGTGGACATTAGGATCAGGGAGGGGCATCTGTTCTGTGACTGTCTGTGTGATAGTGGATCACTGTACAATGGGCAGGTAATTGTTTTTACGTTTATGTTATCAGAGATTTCAAGTATTTCCAAATACCAAGGGTTATAAGGTGATTCTTGCATTGCGCTTCCTTACTACATCCTCATTCACACTTGACCAACGCGTGCGCACTGAAAAATGAATAAAGGGGATAAGTTTTTAAAGAAACTGTGGTGCTGCGTCAGTGGGAGAGTGTAACAGGTAATTTAATGTTAACAACTGAGTTGAAAACGTAAATTGGCCACCGTAAAAAGTGAAACGGCTGAGGTTTCGAGCGTTAGCCCTTCGTCGGAGTGATTGACGAAGAATTGAAAAATGGCCACTTTTTCTCTATCGTCGGAGCTCACCAGAGAAGTAAATCGTCGTTTTCTCGCAAATGAGTGCGGTGACGTGTTATTTGTGTCTCGTTCGTAGAAATGAATTTCTTTCCGTAAAATGAATATAAATCAATTTTCAGAGTAGGAATAGGAACGATTTTAGGAAACGCCAATTCGTCATGTACTCGAAAATATAATTGTTATAATATTATAGGAAATGTATTGGTATCTACAATATACTGCTTCTGCTTCCAAAGGAGCACAGGACCTCCTTTTTATGGATGATTTTCCTTTAGGAATGAACTGTGTCAAGCTGCTTTTTATTATATCATATCTCTTTATACAGGTTGCTCGCCTTGAAGAATGTGAGCGTCTTCTTCTTGCAATTCAAGTTTCAGGCTGGCTGAATGACACTGCGCTGTGTTTACAAGCTGTTGTTCAGTGTTATGGACTACTAGCCCCTTTAATTCACCAAAAGATTCCTGCTAAACCAGTTGTACAGGTTTGTGGAACATTGTTTCTGTCTTAACGGAGAAAAGCAAGCTGTTAAATCGGAGATGTGGCTCGGAACGCATTTTTTCAGACCCTGCATACGCTTTTTTATGAATACAACATTAGTGAAAATTGACAAATATACGGTTTGTATTTTTTTCAGGTTCTCCTCCGGTGTCATGCTGTACTCCAAGAGGTCCCTTCACTGACACGTCATAGAAAGTCCTCGTCTACTTCTGACAGTTTGTCACACATGATCGCCACAATGACTTATTATATAGCCAAGGTAATGAAGTATATTTTGTTTTAGGGAAAACACCACACAGTTAAGGATAAGCTAAGCGGCAAGAAGTATGGCGGAGGGTGGCAAAGATTTTGACGGATTGCAAATTGAGAAAATTAAAAACTTCAGGGTAAACCTTGATCAGGCTCCCTTGATTTTTATTTCAGTTAAGTTTGAGATCTGGCGTTTGGGATAACGAAATCTCGTGTGTATTGACACGTAACACGCGCTTGACGCGCCTGCAGTTCCCATACATTACACGCACCAAACACGCATATGGCACGTCACTACACAGATTTGCGTGTAGACCATAGAACGCTTGTAATTTTGCTACTTCACATGTGTCAGTACACGCACTAGCGCGTTTTATTTTTACGAATTACACGCGTTCGACGCGCGTGTAGGTGCGGCAATAAATGTGAGTGGTATTGTATCTTTTGCATCAGTGCAGGAAATATCCATGGTTCTTTGGTGTTTGTGATTCTTTTCTTCGTGTTTAAAGTCACAATGACTTGAGGGCTCTTGTGTGACATTTCAGATATTACAAATGTGGAACGAGCAGGGAGTAGCTGGGGCCATTATTGAACTCGGCAAGAAAATGCTTAATATCGAAACTGCCCCTGATAGTGCTGGCACCATGACAACCATGCAAGCTGCTGCTGCAATGGCAACTGCCACTCTGGGAGGACCGCCACCGAGTAAAACCACCAAAAAGAAGCCTGGGGCGACTAAAAAGCCCAAAGGTGGAGGAGGCAAGGGACTGGGAAAACTTGAGAAGGAAGCCGCTGCCTTCACTGCTGACGCACAGAATGAGGAGCTGAAGGCCTTGGAAGCCTACATCTTAAAACTTAGTCAACAAGGTAAGCATGGCACCGAATCAGTTCCATTTTTCCTCTTAATTCTGAAAGCTAATAGAAGAATGATCAAGCGAATCAATTTGTCGCGAAACTGCCAAGTACAAACAGATGAAGTTTCTTGCTTGCGCTTATTAAAACCAAATTGCACTCAAAATCATGTTATTACCTATACCAAAACCAATTTCCATATTATTTCTGTGGATTTATATTTACAGCTTTGAACCGTGATGACGAGGAACTAACCGGCTCGGAAGATCCATCTGTCCTTCACTCAGTTGTTGCCAATCTCCCCGCTCAACAAGCGTACAAAGAAGGTAAGTGAAGGAGGGGGCGCTAACGGGAACATTTACAAGTTGAAGGTATGTTTTGATCCCCTCTGACAAAATATTAGCCTCAGCCTTATTTAAGCGCTGTGAAATGAGATGCAGTAAAAGAGCCATAGTTTTCAAGACTGTCCTTCAGGGATAAGATCGATATTAAGTCCAAAATCACATTAACTCCTGATCCAGTCCTGTAGTCGGACGAAAGACAAATTCAGGTAATGAATGACCGAAGACAAACTAAAATATTTCTTCAATACCTTCCGCTATCAACTTCCACAAACTTCAATTGATATTAACTTACATTTATTGTTGACTTCCACCTTTGGTGTCAAGACCTTTTTATCACAGACATCACACGTTAAATCTGCTTTTCCACAGACTTTGAAGCTGCATGAGCTATCTGTTTGCTTTATGTCTGACTGTAGAATTGTCCATCTTTTTAAGACTGGGATGTTGATTGGTACCTTGGTCTCGATGAATCCGTCTCGGCTGAATGTTCAGAAGAAACTCTCTCTGAAGCATCCTTTGTCTCTTCTGCTATTGACTGACCGAGTGAGGGTTACACTCCTTAACCTTTCACAATCTTTCTTGAATGATCTATTCTTAGAGCGGATCACCCATTTTGTAGAATCCTTTAGGGTGAAACCGCGCTTTGCATGACGTGTGTAGTACTGAATGTTTAACTGTGCCTTTCTATAGGGATGCAACAAGTACAACATGTAGTGAATGCTTTTGTTCTCCCAATCTTGTCTTTGAGTCAGCGCATTGCATGCCATTCCATTCTCAACTGAACAGACCTTTGATACAAAATTATCTTTCCTCTCCTTCACTTCCTTCCTTGAGATGACATGCAATTCTCCTTAACTTTTGTACATTTTTCTTTCAATGCCAGTTCTGAGAATTGAGCATTAAATCAGATGATAAACCCCTCCCCATATCAAAGAGTGATTCCAGGTTTTAATCTTTCCTTGTATTCTTTAATCTTTTAATTTTGCTAATAATTTACAGTGTAATTATGTTTTCTGCCCGTCAGGCTCTTTTACGTCGAGACTGTCAAGGTCACCTTTTTAAATTTAAATGCCAAGATATCTTCAGTGTGATCTTTCTGTTCTCTACATATAATTTTGTAATCACAATCTCTCACAATGTTCCTAACTGTTCATTTGTGTTAAAATGAATAACGAATAAAGCACAAGATAACTTACATTCTTGCTCTCTCCTCTTCTTTGAATTCCTTTTTGTCTAATTATGTTCCTGTTTTTGGCTGATGTGTTTGTTTTCAAGCTTTAACAGTATTACACTGTGAAGCTTTCTAGAGAAAAAAATAAATCTGATCTGTATGCTTGGAAATACTTTCTCTGCTCATTAAAAAGGCATCTTAAATGAAAAAGATAATTCTTCACTTCCCATTTACTTCAGAAACTTTTAACTTGAATGAAGGGTCTTCATCCATCGTCTGTTCTTTCCTCGCCTTTTTCAAAGTGTTATATGGATTGCATTTTCTTGAAATGATCTTTTTCTGCTTGTTCTAACGAAGTAAAGCACCCTCTTCAAATGTGGCACGAACCTACCCCATATAATTCGTGTTCTCGTTTGTGTTCTCGTTGGAGCGTGTACTGGTTTTAGAAATGGACCATCAACATGCTTACCGTCGAATACATATTTACCCTTCCCTCCCTGCAGTACTCAAATTTAAGAGGAGGACTCGCTTCCTGGGCTTTTATGTCCAGGTGTTGGCTAAAGCTCTTCAAGAGGGTCTGACAGAAACAGCTTTGGATTGGACCAATGATACCATGACGTGGATCGTGAGGTGAGCAAGTGGTGGCATCTGGTAACAGATGAAATCACTTTAAACAGTGCTAGTGGAAGGGTCATGTTGATTTTGTCACGTGGGTAGGAGCAAAAGGTTGTGCTTTACACAGCCGTAACAATATTTAAAATGCGTTTATTTTTATTTTGGGTCGTTTTCAATTGTCACTTTTTTGATGAAAATGTGACCTTTAACTTGGTATGAGAGAGTAGAAAAACGTCAAGGAGCCTAAAAATAACCTAAAAGGAACAAAGTAATTTAGTATTATCAACTGAGTCGATAAAAGACGGTGAGGATTGACCTGGATTGCAGTGGGCAATCCCCAGAAATGTAGAATACCAAGCCTATGACCAGGCTCTAGTTGGAGGGGCTGAAGAAGAACTGTATTCGAATGAATCGGCCGGCGGCGCGTTGAATAAAGCGTTTACTATGTAACGTCTTTCTATCTCTTTGCAGGAGAAATGAAATGCTGTTGGCAAACAAACCCACCATAGTTCGTCAGGCGGCTGCTACAGCTGGACCGGAAGAAGAAAAAATTAAGAAATTTGCCACCGCTATTGTTGAATTTAGTAAGGTAAAGAGTGACTAGAGTCTAATTTCTCCTTACAATAACACTCTTGAATCAGACATAAAGGGTCGCGAGAAGAAAGAAGTTTTTGATTGTAAACAAATTCTCATTTCAGTGC